GGGAGGAAGCGTCTGGGGAGGGGGAAGTGGGGAGGAGCGTCTGGGGAGGAGGAAGGTCTGGGAGGAGGAAGCGTCTGGGGAGGAAAGCTGGGAGAGAGGTGGAAGTGTCTGGGGAGGAAGTGTCTGGGGAGAGGAGGAAGCGTCTGGGAGGAAGTGTCTGGGGAGGAAGGAAGCGTCTGGGGAGAGGAAGCGTCTGGGGAGGAGGAAGCGTCTGGGGAGGGAAGTGTTGGGAGGAAGTGTCTGGGGAGGAAGTGTTGGGGAGGAAGCTCTGGGGAGGAAGTGTCTGGGGAGGAAGGGGAAGCGTCTGGGGAAGTGTCTGGGGAGGAAGCGTCTGGGGAGGGAGGTCTGGGGAGAGCGTCTGGGAGGGGGGAAGCGTCTGGGGAGGGGGAAGCGTCTGGGGAGGGGACTGGGAGAGCGTCTGGGGAGGGGAAGGTCTGGGGAGGGGGAAGCGTCTGGGGAGGGGGAAGCGTCTGGGGAGGAAGGTCTGGGGAGGGGAAAGCGTCTGGGGAGGAAGTCTGGGGGCGTCTGGGGGAGGGGGAAGTGTCTGGGAGAAAGCGTCTGGGAGGGAGGTCTGGGAGGGGTCTGGGGAGGGGAAGCGTCTGGGGAGGGGAAGCGTCTGGGGAGGGGGGAAGTCTGGGGAGGAAGTGTCTGGGGAGGAAGCGTCTGGGGAGGGGAAGCGTCTGGGGAGGGGTGTCTGGGGAGGGGAAGCGTCTGGGGAGGAAGCGTCTGGGGAGGGGGGAAGCGTCTGGGGAGGGGGAAGCGTCTGGGGAGGAAGCGTCTGGGAGGGGAAGCGTCTGGGGAGGAAGCGTCTGGGGAGGGGGGGGGAAGCGTCTGGGAGGGGAAGCGTCTGGGAGGGGGAGGGGAGCGTCTGGGGAGGAAGCGTCTGGGGAGGGGGAGCGTCTGGGGAGGGGGAAGCGTCTGGGGAGGGGGAAGCGTCTGGGAGGGGGCGGGGAGCGTCTGGGGAGGGGGAAGCGTCTGGGGAGGGGAGAAGCGTCTGGGGAGGGGGAAGCGTCTGGGGAGGGGGAAGTGTCTGGGAGGGGAAGCGTCTGGGGAGGGGAAGCGTCTGGGGAGGGGAAGCGTCTGGGGAGGGGGAAGCGTCTGGGGGGGGAGCGTCTGGGGAGGGGAAGCGTCTGGGGAGGAAAGCGTCTGGGGAGGGGGAAGCGTCTGGGGAAGGAAGCGTCTGGGGAGGGGGAAGCGTCTGGGGAGGAGGTCTGGGGAAGCGTCTGGGGGGGGGAAGCGTCTGGGGAGGGGGAAGCGTCGGGAGGAAGCGTCTGGGGAGGGGAAGCGTCTGGGAGGGGAAGCGTCTGGGGAGGGGGAAGCGGGGAGGGGAGGGAGGGGAGCGTCTGGGGAGGAAGCGTCTGGGGAGGGGGAAGCGTCTGGGGAGGGGTCTGGGGAGGGGGAAGCGTCTGGGGAGGGGGAGCGTCTGGGGAGGGAAGCGTCTGGGAGGGGGAAGCGTCTGGGGGGGGAAGCGTCTGGGGAGGGAAGCGTCTGGGGAGGGGGAGTCTTACTGTAGTTGTTCCACAGGAGGTAAAGCGGCTGCAGTGGATCCAGGTGCAGTTTGAGGTTGTCCCACAGGATCTGGACCAGGACGTGTTTACTGTCCTCAGACACGAGCTCACGAGGAACCTGAGCCACAGAGCCACAGAGGAGTCACAGAGGAGCCACAGAGGAGTCACAGAGGAGCCACAGAGGAGTCACGAGTCACAGAGGAGTCACAGAGGAGCCACAGAGGAGCCACAGAGGAGTCACAGAGGACACAGAGGAGTCACAGAGGAGCCACAGAGGAGTCACAGAGGAGTCACAGAGTCACAGAGGAGCCACAGAGGAGTCACAGAGAGGTCACAGAGGAGCACAGAGGAGCCACAGAGAGTCACGAGTCACAGAGGAGCCACAGAGGAGTCACGAGAGGAGCCACAGAGGAGTCACGAGTCAGAGGAGTCACGAGTCAGGAGTCACAGAGAGCCACAGAGGAGCCACAGAGGAGTCACGAGTCACAGAGGAGTCACAGAGGAGCCACAGAGGAGTCACAGTCACAGAGGAGTCACAGAGGAGACAGTCACAGAGGAGCCACAGAGGAGCCACAGAGGAGTCACGAGTCACAGAGGAGCCAAGAGGAGCCAAGAGCCACAGAGGATCACAGCAGAGAGTCACAGAGGAGCCACAGAGAGCCACAGAGGAGTCACAGTCACAGAGGAGCCCACAGAGGAGCCACAGAGGAGCCACAGAGGAGTCACGAGGAGTCACAGAGGAGTCACAGAGGAGCCAGAGGAGCCACAGAGGAGTCACAGAGGAGTCACACAGAGGAGCCACAGAGGAGTCCACAGAGGAGTCACGAGTCACAGAGGAGCACAGAGGAGCACAGAGGAGTCACAGAGGAGTCACAGAGTCCACAGAGGAGTCACAGAGGAGCACAGAGAGTCACACAGAGGAGCACAGACAGAGGAGTCACAGAGGAGCCACAGAGGAGTCACAGAGGAGTCACGAGTCACAGAGGAGTCACAGAGGAGTCACAGAGGAGCCACAGAGGAGTCACAGAGGAGTCACAGAGGAGTCACAGAGGAGTCACAGAGGAGCCACAGAGGAGTCACAGAGGAGTCACAGAGGAGCCACAGAGGAGTCACAGAGGAGCCACAGAGGAGCCACAGAGGAGTCACAGAGGAGCCACAGAGGAGCCACAGAGGAGTCACAGAGGAGTCACGAGTCACAGAGGAGTCACAGAGGAGTCACAGAGGAGCCACAGAGGAGTCACGAGTCACAGAGGAGTCACAGAGGAGTCACAGAGTCACAGAGTCACAGAGGAGTCACAGAGGAGCCACAGAGGAGATACAGAGGAGCCACGAGTCACAGAGGAGTCATGAGTTCAATCGTTTTTCAAATTAAAACCAAAAATCTCTTGTTTAATTATTGTAATGACGCTCGAATGTACGTGCCAGCGTAGACTCGCCGGATTATTTGTGAGTATTTGTGTGTTTATTTGTGAACATGACGCTGCAATCACAAGCGCCGCCGTCGGGACCAAAACAGTTCATCGCCGAGTGACAAAACAAGTCATGATGTCGAATCAACACGAGTGAGCAGGACACGTCTCAATGGTCACGTGCGTCAAATTCAGCGAAACACAAACGACGAGAAGAAACATCTCAAACCCCAACAGACGATATAAATTTAGCCCGAGTGACACAACTAGCCCCGCCCCCGGGACAGGCCGAAATACATGCATCACGAATTTTAGACTTCCGGTCATCACACAATTCATACTGGGAAGGATTTTCTGTCTATTGTCAAAGTCGATCTTTTCAAGTCTTTTGAACCATTTCACTTTTGTTTCTGGTTCTGATATTGTCATATTTTAGTTTTGGGATTCAGACATCGTAATTGTTGTGGTTGTTGGATCCTAACAGCGGAAAACGACTTGAGAAATTTGTTTGTGAACTTCATAAATGCAAAAGTGAATCAGATGTGTGTGACTCAAACCTCCGTTCAAACTGTTTCTCTTCCCAGCGGAATTGAAAAATAGTGAAAGGTGAAGGTGATGGGCAGGATTGATCCACAGGAAGAAACAAAATCCCAGTCCTTCGTTCAACCTCGGTTATGAATTAAAAAAGTCGACACCAAAGTGAAAGTTTCCAACTGTTCATCAAGAAACACCTTCCACTGCAAAGACCAAGACGTGATGTTTGTGTAAAACCACAAGAACAAGAAAGTGCAGCTCAGTCTGTTTGTCTTCTGCTCCTCTACATTAACAAACGGGGTTTTGTTTTGTCGTCGCTCCACAGACAAAATGTTCTCTGTAAACTCGGGATGATTTCTTAGTCAGACAAATGTTTCCTTTTTGGTTCTTCCTGTGGATCAATCCTGCCCATCACCTTCACCTTTCACTATTTTTCAATTCCGCTGGGAAGAGAAACAGTTTGAACGGAGGTTTGAGTCACACACATCTGATTCACTTTTGCATTTATGGAGTTCACAAACTTCCAAAGCACGTTATCTGCTGTCAGTATCCAACAACCACACAATTACGATATTCAAATCCCAAAACTAAAATACCGTATTTTCTGCACTATTAGTCGCTCTGGATTATAAAACGCACTGTCATTAAATGGTCTATTTTTGAACTTTTTCACAAATAAACCGCGTGGGACTTTAAAGGAAACCCAACAGTGTGATGGGTGAGTGGTTTTGTTTGTTTGTTCGTTCACGGTGACTCTGGGTTTTGTTCAGTTGTGGCGTGTAGGGAGGGTGTGTCTGGGACCAACAGATCGTCTGCGTGTTCGCAGTGACTCAGTTGTTCAGTCGTGTCTAGAAGCGGCACTTTGCACTCGTCGCTTTTTCGGTTCGTTCCTCCGTTCCGTTCCTCGTCGGCGTGGAGTGATGAGTGTGTCTGTGTGTCTGTGGGTGTGTTTCGCTGTGCGGTCGCTGTCTGCTCCGTGTGTGTTTGTGTGTTCTGTGGGTGGTGTGTGTTTGTAGTTTACTGAAGTCGTACTGGGACACCTGAGTGGATTCGTGTATGGGGCGCTCTGGATTGTGGGGCGCAGTCGTTTTTTGATGCGGCTGGTACGGAAGTCGAGAGGGGTCACAACAAACGCAAACGCCGCAACAAATACAAATGCAACAACACAACAAAAAGCCACAACCAACCAAAAAAAGTCACAACGGAAGTGACCGCGGGACTCCATTTTCCGACGGACCGATCAAGCGGCAAGTGAAGAAGAAGAACTACAACGTGAAAAGTAAAGGAGCGGAGAAGTTGGAAACGTAAGTAAAAGTAATTTATTGTTTTATCGTTATTCGTTTCACGTTGTAGTTCTTCTTCTTCACTCGCTGCTTGATCGGTCCGTCGGAAAATAGAGTCCCGCGGTCACTTCCATTGTGGCTCTTTTTAAAGTGTTGTGGCTTTTTGATGTGTTGTGGCTTTTTGATGTGTTGCGGCTTTTTAAGGTGTTGCGGCTTTTTGATGTGTTGTGGCATTTGCGTTTGTGTTGCGCCGTTTGTATTAAAATAGAGTCCCGCGGTCATTTACGTTGTGGCTTTTTTTAATTTGTTGTGGCTTTTTTTGGTGTGTTGTGGCTTTTTGTTGTGTTGTGGCTTTTTAATGTGTTGTGGCTTTTTGATGTGTTGCGACTTTTTAAGGTGTTGCGGCTTTTTAATGTGTTGCGGCTTTTTGATGTGTTGCGGCTTTTTAAGGTGTTGCGGCTTTTTGATGTGTTGTGGCATTTGCGTTTGTGTTGCGGCGTTTGCATTAAAATAGAGTCCTGCGGTCATTTACGTTGTGGCTTTTTTTGATTTGTTGTGGCTTTTTTGGTGTGTTGTGGCTTTTTGTTGTGTTGTGGCTTTTTAATGTGTTGCGGCTTTTTGATGTGTTGTGGCTTTTTAAGGTGTTGCGGCTTTTTGATGTGTTGTGGCATTTGCGTTTGTGTTGCGGCGTTTGCATTAAAATAGAGTCCCGCGGTCATTTACGTTGTGGCTTTTTTTGATTTGTTGTGGCTTTTTTTGGTGTGTTGTGGCTTTTTGTTGTGTTGTGGCTTTTTAATGTGTTGCGGCTTTTTGATGTGTTGCGGCTTTTTAAGGTGTTGCGGCTTTTTGATGTGTTGTGGCATTTGCGTTTGTGTTGCGGCGTTTGCATTAAAATAGAGTCCCGCGGTCATTTACGTTGTGGCTTTTTTTGATTTGTTGTGGCTTTTTTTGGTGTGTTGTGGCTTTTTGTTGTGTTGTGGCTTTTTAATGTGTTGCGGCTTTTTGATGTGTTGCGGCTTTTTAAGGTGTTGCGGCTTTTTGATGTGTTGTGGCATTTGCGTTTGTGTTGCGGCGTTTGCATTAAAAATAGAGTCCGCGGTCATTTACGTTGTGGCTTTTTTTGATTTGTTGTGGCTTTTTTGGTGTGTTGTGGCTTTTTGTTGTGTTGTGGCTTTTTAATGTGTTGTGGCTTTTTGATGTGTTGTGGCTTTTTAAGGTGTTGCGGCTTTTTGATGTGTTGTGGCATTTGCGTTTGTGTTGCGGCGTTTGCATTAAAATAGAGTCCCGCGGTCATTTACGTTGTGGCTTTTTTTTATTTGTTGTGGCTTTTTTGTGTGTGTTGTGGCTTTTTGTTGTGTTGTGGCTTTTTTAATGTGTTGTGGCTTTTTGATGTGTTGCGGCTTTTTAAGGTTGTTGCGGCTTTTTTGATGTGTTGTGGCATTTGCGTTTGTGTTGCGGTGTTTGCATTAAAATAGAGTCCCGCGGTCATTTACGTTGTGGCTTTTTTTGATTTGTTGTGGCTTTTTTTGGTGTGTTGTGGCTTTTTGTTGTGTTGTCGCATTTGTATTTGTTGCGGCGTTTGCGTCTGTTGTGACCCCTCTCGGCTTCCATAGGTTGGAGACTTAAGAGGGCGTCCTGTAGTGCAGAAAACAGAGTATGACAATATCAGAACCAGAAACAAAGTGATATGGTTCAAGCGACTTGAAAAGGTCGACTTTGACAAAAGACACATCCCATCACTTTTTTCGGAGGATCCTTCCCAGTATGAATTGCGCGATGACGTCTGAGATTCTTGATGCGTCTATTCATGCGATACAAGGCTGGTTTTACTTCTAAAATGATTCTATGGACACAGACATTCACATGGACAGTCTGGTGTAATAACAGATTTGTTTCGGGTGTTTTGTGGAGTGGGCCAGACTGTTTTTAGTGGCACCAGTGACCTCTGCAAATATAAGGAATATTTCAAAAAAGTGTCTCCACACGTCTCCAATGCTCTGAACCACGAGGAAATTATGAGTATGGAAAATAATTTGTTCCATCAGATTTAGAATTTTAAATACGACTGAATTTCTCACTTTGATTTTTTTAAATCTGAAAAAAGATGTTTGAATTATTTTTATTTTGAATTTTAGTTGCTGAAATTTTAAGTATACTTTTTCAATATGTTTCAAATAAAAAAAAAAAAATAATAAAAAAAATCACTTTTTAAATATTTAGCACAGATATTTTCAAGCCCTCAAATTCCATCCATCCACCCATTTTCTTCCGCTTATCTGGGGCCGGGTCGCGGGGGCAGCAGTCTAAGCAGAGACTCCCAGACTTCCTTCACCCCAGACACGTCCTCCATCTCCTCCGGGGGGACCCCGAGGTGTTCCCAGGCCAGCCCAGAGACATAGTCCCTCCAGTGTGTCCTGGGTCTTCCCCGGGGCCTCCTCCCAGTGGGACATGCCCAGAACACCTCCCGAGGGAGACGCCCAGGAGGCATCCGAAACAGATGCCCGAGCCTCAACTGGCTCCTCTCAACGTGGAGGAGCAGCGGCTCTACTCCGAGCTCCTCCTGTGTGACTGAGCTCCTCACTCTGTCTCTAAGGGAGACGCCCAGCCACCCTGCGGAGGAAACTCATTTCGAGCGCTTGTATCTGCGATCTCGTCCTTTCGGTCACTACCCAGAGCTCATGACCAGAGGTGAGAGTAGGAACGAAGACTGACCGGTAAATCGAGATCTTTGCCTTTCGGCTCAGCTCCTCTTCACCACAACGGTCCGATACAGCGACCGCATCACTGCAGACGCTGCACCTGTCCACCTGTCAATCTCACGTTCCGTCCTCCCCTCACTCATGAACAAGACCCCGAGATACTTGAACTCCTCCACCTGAGGCAGGGACTCTCCACCCGCCCGGAGAGGGCCAGACGCCTTTTTCCGGTCGAGAACCATGACCTCAGACTTAGAAGAGCTGATTCTCATCCCAGCAGCTTCACACTCGGCTGCAAACTGCCCCAGTGCACGTTGCAGGTCCTGGTTCGATGGAGCCAACAGGACAACATCATCTGTGAACAGCAGAGATGATCCTGTGGTCCCCAAACTGGACCCTCCGACCCCTGACTGCGCCTAGAAATTCTGTCCATAAAAACAATGAACAGAACTGATGCCCTCAAATTCAAAAGTCAAAATTCAGATTGTAAAATTCGCTGTGTAAAATTTCACAACAAAGATTCACGATGCCAAGGCAGAAGCGATCGATCCTGTGTGAGCGAGAAGGACAGAGGCCGTTTCCCATTGGCCGCTCTCATTTGTGGGCGGGGTTTGAGGTTTTGATGAGGCAAATTTTGACCAATCAGATCGCTTCACCGCACCATTTCCTCCTTGTTACTAACTTAGATTGATCACTTTTGGATTCCTTTCGATTCCTTAGGTTTCAGCATCTCGGATCTTTCCTGAGAATTGCAAATTTTACACTCTTGAATTTGAGGCCTGAATATATTTGTGCTGAATATTTAAAAGGTGACATTTTTTATTTTAAATTTTAAACACTTTGAAAATGTACGCTTAAAATTGTTTCATAGTTTATTTAATGAGAGAAACACATTTACTGAACTAAAATGTAAAAAGAAAACATTTGCAGTGTGAGTGGCAGTAGAAACTGGATCTTCCAGCACATATAAACATGTCACTCGTCGTAGGACCCAGGTTTTCTTTATTGTCTTGTTTATCCATAACTTTGTCTTCTAGAATTAATCACTTTTTGTGAGTGGATCTTTGTAACGTTAACAAGGATCTTTTCATGGCCGATTCTTTCGAGGTTCGGCTCACAGACTCTTCGACTCGTGCGTCATGTTGATCACAGGAGCCCAGTGTGGGTTCGTTGAATCGTAAACTAGTGCGGTTTTTCCTGGATAAATTAATGAAATTTTAGTTCAGTAAATGTGCTTCTTTCATTAAATAATCTATGAAACTATCTAAATAGCAAATACCTTGATGAAACTTCGGGTGTCTTGATGGGACCATTGGAAATCTCTTTGTGGTTTATTTCTGCGTCTTTTTTGTGATAATTCCCTTGTTTGATCCTGATGAGTCATTTCCAGAGGAACAGCGAAGAAATGATTTGTTTTATCCCTTTCAGATCGTCTAGACCAGGGGTGTTCAATACGTCGATCTCGATCTACCAGTTGATCGCCAAGGTCATGTGGGTACATCGCCGTGTCTCGTCTCGGACTCGTGTTTGGACTCGGTCTTGTCTCTCACTCGAGGTCTGACACTCAACAAGTGTGATCATATTTCATTCCGGCCGCTGCTGTTGGTAATAAACTTGTAGCGGGTGCAGGAGCGTGTGGGGCGTCTCAGTGCAGCCTGTGCGCTCATTTGAAACCCGCGGAGACTCTACGGCGCATCACAAACACACACGCTCCCTATGCACGGCTCGTCTGCGACAGCGTGTGCCCTCGTGTACCAGCGTGCATCACAGGGCAGGTTCAACTTCCTAAACATCCTACCTGTCCACCTGCCTCTCACGTCAGCACGCCGCCCTCGCCTTTTCACGCTCTCGCTCCTTCCTGCGTACAGCAAACACAAGCCCCTCCCACAGTGCGGCTGATTAGAAGAGCAAGACCAAACGTGAAGCAAAAACCAGTCTAAATTTGTGTTCCAGTGTTGGCACAAAGCAGGTCTACAGCATAGAGCGGATCTACAGAACAGACCTACTGCCACATTTGGCTGAAGTTTGTCTAACAAAAGTGACAAATGCATCTGTGTTTGTCACGATGTGCGTTTGGTTTGGTAAACGTGCAGAGGCTGGTAAATATCACTGCAAAACCAGAAAAGAATGAAACTCCAGTTTGGAACTTTAAAAAACAGGTTTAAAAATCTTCCTTCACTTTTTTCACAGTTTTGTGTAAAGTGCCAGAGGAAGTTCTCTTAAAGAAGAGGTTCTCAAACTGTGGGGGAGGGTCAAAAAAAGGGGCACAGAGTGTTTCAGTGCAGTTTGTTTGACTTTGTATTCGGTCGATCATTTTGACTTGGTCATTTTGTAAGAAGCTCACATGATGAAAAAGTGTGAACACCCCTGATTTTGAACAACCAAATACACAACAAAACCTGCCCATGTTTCTCCGATGCTGCTGAAGTCAATGACATATCGTGCCCGGTGTCATGGCGGCGTAGGTACCGTTGCTATAGGGACACGTGATGGTGCAAAGTCTCTATAAAAATAATTCAAACATGTTTTTTCAGAGTTAAAAAATAAATTCAAAGTGAGAAATTCAACTGCATTTAAAATTCTAAATCTGATGAAACAGATGATCTTCCATAGGTGAAGCCCTATGTGTTGTGAGTGCTTCTCACCGCGCGCTCGTGCCTGTTGCAGTGCTCCGAGGTGAGGACGAGGCCGGGCAGGTGCGAGGGCAGCTGCAGGCGTCTGAAGAACCAGAGCAGGTTCCAGAAGAGGATGGGGTGAAGGTCGACGAGCGCCGGCTCACTCAGACACGACGCCCCCTCGTGCTCCAGAAGAGTCTCCACCTCCTTCCACAGAACCAGAGGACTGAGGTACGGCACCGTGACCGGCTCCGGACGCCGCAGGGACCAGTCCACCTCATCCTGACACACACCACCACGTTAGTCCTGGTTTAGACCTGGTTTAGACCTGGTTTAGACCTGGTTTAGTCCTGGTTTAGACCTGGTTTAGTCTTAGTTCAGACCTGGTTTAGTCCTGGTTTAGACTGGTTTAGTCCTGGTTTAGTCCCTGGTTTAGACCTGGTTTAGTCCTGGTTTTAGACCTGGTTTAGTCCTGGTTTAGTCCTGGTTTAGACCTGGTTTAGTCCTGGTTTAGTCCTAGTCCTGGTTTAGACCTGGTTTAGACCTGGTTTAGTCCTGGTTTAGTCCTAGTTCAGACCTGGTTTAGACCTGGTTTAGACCTGGTTTAGACCTGGTTTAGTCTTAGTTCAGACCTGGTTTAGACCTGGTTTAGTCCTGGTTTAGACCTGGTTTAGACCTGGTTTAGTCCTGGTTTAGTCCTGTTTAGGGTTTAGACCTGGTTTAGTCCTGTTTAGTTGGTTTTAGACCTGGTTTAGTCCTGGTTTAGACCTGGTTTAGTCCTGGTTTAGACCTGGTTTAGTCTTAGTTCAGACCTGGTTTAGTCCTGGTTTAGACCTGGTTTAGTCCTGGTTTAGTCCTGGTTTAGTCTTAGTTCAGACCTGGTTTAGTCCTGGTTTAGACCTGGTTTAGACCTGGTTTAGTCCTGGTTTAGTCCTGGTTTAGTCCTGGTGTAGTCCTGGTTTTAGTCCTGGTTTAGTCCTGGTTTAGTCCACCTGGTTTAGACCTGGTTTAGTCCTGGTTTAGTCCTGGTTTAGTCCTGGTTAGTCCTGGTTTAGTCCTGGTTTAGACCTGGTTTAGACCTGGTTTAGTCCTGGTTTAGACCTGGTCTGGTTTAGTCTGGTTTTAGACCTGGTTTAGACCTGGTTTAGTCCTGGTTTAGACCTGGTTTAGACCTGGTTTAGTCCTGGTTTAGTCTTTTAGTTCAGACCTGGTTTAGTCCTGGTTTAGACCTGGTTTAGTAGTCCTGGTTTAGTCCTGGTTTAGACCTGGTTTAGACCTGGTTTAGTCCTGGTTTAGTCCTGGTTTAGTCCTGGTTTAGACCTGGTTTAGACCTGGTTTAGTCCTGGTTTAGTCCTGGTTTAGTCCTGGTTTAGTCCTGGTTTAGTCCTGGTTTAGTCCCTGGTTTAGACTGCTTTAGTTCTTAGTTTAGTCCTGGTTTAGTCCTTAGTTTAGTCCTGGTTTAGACCTGGTTCAGTCCTGGTTTAGTCCTGGTTTAGTCAGGTTTAGGTCCTGGTTTAGACCTGGTTTAGTCCTGGTTTAGTCCTGGTTTAGACCTGGTTTAGTCCTGGTTTAGTCTTAGTTCAGACCTGGTTTAGTCCAGGTTTAGTCCAGGTTCAGTCCTGGTTTAGTCTCTTACTGGGGGGTGGCTGAGGTGGCAGGGCAGGCTCTCGGAGAGGGGGAGGTCGCGGTGGTCGTGGAGGTCGTGGAGGTCGCGGGGGTCGTGGAGGTCGTGGGGGTCGCGGGGGCGGAGTCTTCTCTCTCTGACGTCACTGTAGTCGCTCACGCTTCGGGCCAGACTCTGACCGGGAGACGGCGTCCTCTGGTGTCTGTCCGAGGGAACTGCGATGCTCGGAGACACACCCGCTCTGGAACAAGAACAACAAGCAGGTCCTGATTTAGTCCTGGTTTAGTTCTGGTTTTGTCCTGGTTTGGTTCAGATTTAGTTGTGGTTTAGATCTGGTTTAAACCTGGGGCAGTCCCGCTCCAGTCCCGCTTCAGTCCCGCTCCAGTCTCACTTTAGTCCTGCTCCAGTCCCGCTTCAGTCTCGCTCCAGTCCCGCTCGTCTCCAGTCCCGCTCCAGTCCCGCTTCAGTCCCGCTTCCAGTCCCGCTTCAGTCCGCTTCCAGTCCCGCTCCAGTCCGCTCCAGTCCCGCTCCCAGTCCTCAGTCCCTCAGTCCAGTCCAGTCCGCTCAGTCCCGTCCAGTCCGCTCCAGTCCCGCTCCAGTCCTTCAGTCCCCAGTCCTTCAGTCCAGTCTTCAGTCCCAGCTCCAGTCCCCTCCAGTCCAGTCCCAGTCCTTCAGTCCCGCTCAGTCCCGCTCCAGTCCCGCTCCAGTCCCGCTTCAGTCCGCTTCAGTCCCGCTCCAGTCCGCTCCAGTCCGCTCCAGTCCCTTCCAGTCCGCTTCAGTCCTTCAGTCCCGCTTCCAGTCCCGCTCCAGTCCCGCTTCAGTCCCGCTTCAGTCCCGCTCAGTCAGTCCCGCTCCAGTCCCAGTCCTCCAGTCCTTCAGTCCCGCTTCAGTCCAGTCCCGCTCCAGTCCCGCTCCAGTCCCCTTCAGTCCCGTTCAGTCCCGCTTCAGTCCGTCTCCAGTCCCAGTCCCGCTTCCAGTCCCGCTTCAGTCCCGCTTCAGTCCCGCTTCCAGTCCCGCTCCAGTCCCGCTTCAGTCCCGCTTCAGTCTCCAGTCCCGCTCCAGTCCGCTCAGTCAGTCCTTCAGTCCCGCTCCAGTCCCGCTCAGTCCCTAGTCCGCTCCAGTCTCCAGTCCTCCAGTCCGCTTCAGTCCCGCTCAGTCTTGCTCCAGTCCCGCTCCAGTCCCGCTTCAGTCCGCTTCAGTCCCTCCAGTCTCCGTCCTCAGTCCAGTCGCTCCGTCCCGCTTCAGTCCCGCTCCAGTCCCGCTCCAGTCCCGCTTCAGTCAGTCCGCTCCGTCCCTCCAGTCCACTTCAGTCTCCAGTCCCAGTCTTCAGTCCCAGTCCGCTCCAGTCCGCTCCAGTCCCGCTTCAGTCCCGCTCCAGTCCAGTCCCGCTTCAGTCCGCTTCAGTCCAGTCCGCTCAGTCCCGCTCCAGTCCCGCTCCAGTCCCGCTTCAGTCCCGCTTCAGTCCCGCTTCAGTCCCGCTCAGTCCCGCTTCAGTCTTGCTCCAGTCCCGCTTCAGTCTTGCTCCAGTCCTTCAGTCCCGCTCCAGTCCCGCTCCAGTCCCGCTCAGTCCTTCAGTCCCGCTCCAGTCCCGCTCCAGTCCCGCTTCAGTCCCGCTTCCAGTCCCGCTCCAGTCCCGCTTCCAGTCCCGCTCCAGTCCCGCTCCAGTCCCGCTTCAGTCCCGCTTCAGTCCCGCTTCAGTCCCGCTCCAGTCCCGCTTCAGTCCCGCTTCAGTCAGTCCCTCCAGTCCCGCTCCAGTCCCGCTTCAGTCTTGCTCAGTCCTCCAGTCCCGCTCCAGTCCCTTCAGTCCCGCTCCAGTCCTCCAGTCCCGCTCCAGTCCGCTCCAGTCTTGCTCCAGTCCCGCTTCAGTCCCGTCCAGTCCCCAGTCCCGCCAGTCCCGCTCCAGTCCCGCTCCAGTCCCGCTTCAGTCCCGCTTCCCCGCTTCAGTCTTGCTCCAGTCCCGCTTCAGTCCCGCTTCAGTCCAGTCCCGCTTCAGTCCCGCTTCAGTCCCGCTTCAGTCCCGCTTCAGTCCCGCTCCAGTCCCGCTTCAGTCCCGCTTCAGTCCCGCTTGCTCCAGTCCCGCTTCAGTCTTGCCGCTCTCCAGTCCGCTCCAGTCCGCTCCAGTCCAGTCCGCTCCAGTCCGCTTCAGTCCCGCTCCAGTCCCGCTCCAGTCGCCGCTTCAGTCCCGCTTCAGTCCGCTTCAGTCCCGCTCCAGTCCCGCTTCAGTCCCTCCAGTCCCGCTCCAGTCCCGCTCCAGTCCCAGTCCCGCTCAGTCCCGCTTCAGTCCGCTTCAGTCCCCGCTTCCAGTCAGTCCCGCTCCGCTCCAGTCCCTTCAGTCCCTCAGTCCGCTCAGTCAGTCCAGTCCAGTCCCGCTTCAGTCCCGCTTCAGTCCCGCTCCAGCTGTGCCCTGCGGTACCTGGGCAGGGTCTTGGTGGGGACCGGAGTGGAGCACAGGTCTGGGGAGCTGGAGGACAGAGCTCCAGAGCGACAGGGGGTGGACAGGGACGCGGTGCCCGAGTTCAGAGCGCTGCAGGCGGAGAACGACGGGCTGCTGGGGTCCTCTGCACTGGTCCTCAGGAAGAGTCTGAAACACAGAGACAAAAACTGAACCAGGACTGAACCAGGACTAAACCAGGACTAAACCAAGATTAAATCAGGACTAAACCAGGAATACTGATTTTCTCTGCTAAATCGATGGTGGCATAAAAAAGCTCAGTGCTGGTATAGTCCTGGTTGAGTCCCGGTTGAGACCATGCATCAGTCCTGGGTCAGTCCTGTTTCAGTCCCAGTTCAGTCTCGGTTCAATCCTGGGTCAGTCCTGTTTCAGTCCTGGTCTGGCCCAGTGCTGGTCCCGATCCAGTCCGGTCCAGTCCGATCCAGTCCGGTCCAGTCCGGTCCAGTCCGGTCCAGTCCGGTCCAGTCCCGGTCCAGTCCAGTCCAGTCCCAGTCCAGTCCAGTCCCGGTCCAGTCCGGTCCAGTCCAGTCCCGGTCCAGTCCGGTCCAGTCCAGTCCGGTCCCAGTCCGGTCCAGTCCGGTCCAGTCCGGTCCAGGTCCAGTCCGGTCCAGTCCGGTCCGGTCAGTCCGGTCCAGTCCCGGTCCGGTCCAGTCGGTCCGGTCCAGTCCGGTCCCGGTCCAGTCCGGTCCGGTCCGGTCCGGTCAGTCGGTCGGTCCCGGTCCGGTCCGGTCCAGTCTGGTCCGGTCCAGTCCAGTCCGGTCCAGTCCCGGTCCAGTCCCGGTCCAGTCCAGTCTGGTCCCAGTCCGGTCCCAGTCCGGTCCAGTCGGTCCGGTCCGGTCCGGTGCAGTCCGGTCCGGTCCGGTCCCGGTGCAGTCCGGT